ACACACCTTGCTGCACAAGTAAATCGCTGATATCAACCTGCTCAGTTGACAGCTGTCTCAGGGCGACGCCTATACCATCCAGTCGTGGAGGTAGGGAGTAACCTCCATGAATCCAGCAGGTAAGTGGGAGAGGCAGGAAGAGAACAGGCACGCGAGAGGAAGGCCCTTCCTCCCTCCGTTGAATTTCATGCATCGAAGTTGGCCGCTTCTGAATCTGGCCATGGCCGTTTGGAGAGATATAGTTCTTTTATTCTGAAGTCACGGGCCTAGTTGCTCAGCGATATACCAGTGGTATGGAGGCGATATACCAGTGGTATTTTAATATTTTTCCCATGAAGGTTGATGCACGGGGTTCTTCGATGGCGCTTACCTATGCTTATCTGTCCAGGTAAGCGCCATCGAAGAAATCCGTGCATCAACCTTCATGGGAAAAATATTAAAATAGTTAGAAACTTCAGGTACCTTGGAGTTATAATTGACGACACATTGACTTGGATGCCACATTTAAAGGAGGTCAAGGCACGACTTCACAGGATATTTCATTTCATGCTCAGAACAGCAGCACCAACATGGGGAGTTTCTTCGAGGATGCTTAAGACGTGGTACTCTGTAGTTACTGAGACGTATTGCGCTATTATGGAATCTCCATGTGGGGCATAACGATCACTACTAAAATGGAGAATCTGCTACGCTTGGCAACACAAAGACCATTCATTCCTCTTAAGCATTTCCCGAGGATATAAAACCTCGCCTACTAATGCTCTAAGTGTGATTTCAGGACTGCCACTCTGCATCTCTTAGCTGAGTGTGAGAGTGCAATAGTGCGAGTAGTGCTCCGACTGAAAGAGACAATAAGTTTATGGGATAGGACTATGTTTATACTGATTATGAGCAAAGCATTCCCGAGCCACCTTGCACCCGCCGAATTCAATATCTTGATTAACTGCAGGTCACAACGTGGTTCAACGCCACTGCAATCTACCGATGGTTCCAAAGGAGAATGTGGCATCGGTAGCGGATACTGTGTTCTACTGGGAACCAGATCTTAAAGACCTGGGAAAAAGAAAGCTTAAGCACCACAACTCAGTTTTTCAGGCTGAACTGATTGCATTAAAAGCTGCACTGTTACGCACGGAAAATAACTATTCCAGTATAATTCAGACTCAGCCTCTAGCCTCCAGGCAATCCAAGGCACATGTAGTAAAAATCACTCGTCCGGGCCATACAAAAACTCTAAGAACACCTAAATACTATAGGCTGAACTCCAGTGGGTACCTGCCCACACTGGAATACTGGGTAATGAAATTGCAGATGCAATAGCCAAAAGAAAGCACTGACCCCTACGTTCGCCACTTGACGTGCCTTCCCGGGTTCGTTCTTAAAAGCTGAGCTCGAGAGAGAATTACTCAACGTTGGCAACATCTGTGGGGAGACAGAAACCACAGGCAGAAGAGTTTACAGATTTTTTCCAAAAGTCTGCCGGCTTCTAAAATTGGCTCGTCTCACTTACTCAGTATCTAACAGGACATGGACCCTCATGACTTACTGCATCGCTTCAGACGTCGCGAAAATGAGCATGCTCATGCGGGATGGTAGGAGATCCGGACCTTATCTGTTCGCTTGCAGAGAGACCGCCAAATATCTCTAGGCAACCAGTAGCAAACCACATCCATGCATGGGCCGAAGCTACTTCAAAAAAATCGCCATGCATTGAAACGCATATGCGATTGCATAAACATTGCACGCAAAAATCTCAGACAGGCTGGAGTAATCTCAGCCACCATCCTCGTCACAGCACAGCCCCTGTATGTTCTGTACCTGTAGTGAACTAATTTTATCTTAAGTTAGCTTATTCGGCTTTTCTTATTCCCTGTATATTTATCTCCTTGAACTGTTAAACCTTGAATTATGAACCTTGAACTATGATTTTGCCTTATTTTATGTATTGTTTCATGTTTTGCCTTTTTTTATTTTATGTATGTTTTACTTTCTTACTCTGTAAATATGAACTGGAATTGTTCTTCACGCCCGTAATGCACCCTTCTTCCATCTTGCACTATCGTCTTGGTCCAGCATTTTTGCATGCCCCAGCAGTCGTCTCTTGAGCACAATATGTATTTATAAGTGTTTCTTTTGTTCAAGTTATTTCCGTCAGCGGGGCTACCTGGCCGATATGCTAACTACCCAGTGGACCGGCTGCCTCGCTGTCGGTGGAAAGAAAGAAAGTGGTATGGAGGAGGTAGGGAGATCACAGCCTTTTCTTGCAAGATCATCAGCTATTTCATTACCATACACTCCAACATGGGACGGTATCCACTGGAGATATATTGATTTACGCTGTCCAAACTCAAAACGTTTAGATATGATATTCTGACCAGTCTTTTCAGACTGGTCTTAGGCCAGTTTTTGAGGTACTGAATGGAGTTTCTACTGTCTGTCAGAATCCATATAATGTCATTAGTCGAACAGAGAGCATAATCAAGTGCTTGCTGATGACAAGTTCCGATCTGAAGATGGAACAATGGTCAGAGTTTCTGATGAAATGCGATGCGATTAACTTTGTGAAAAATCCTGCAATTCCATCTGAGGAAGGAACCAATCGTTTAAAGTCAGTTAGCTGGGAACTTCAGGTATCCCCCTTCCTGCAATAGCTCACTTTTATGAAATGCCTATTCCTTGTCTATTTTTCCTGACCGAAAGAAATCCGAAGGGAATCGACAGGCCTCATATACTTTCCCATTTTCGATTAAATAAACTGAATAAATCTTCGCTTTACTAAAAGCGAAAAACAGAAAAGCTGAAATGCGTTTACCCACCCTATTTATCACGTGCAGTAATTGTAGAAAGATGTAATACTGTTTGAAAAGGAATCTAAGCTTGGGTAAATTCCCAGGTTTCTGTTAACTTTTTAAGTTCCTATTACTAAAAAAATATTATGAATCTTACACTCTCTACCGCCAATGACTCATCTCTGTTAATTCTAATTTTAATTATTCTGGTATACGAAGCAACAGATATGCTATATTTGAGATATGCTATATATTTATCACATAATATCTGCTTTTTGTTAGAATCAATTAACATTGCTTTAATTTTTGCGTTATTTGGCAAATTATTCTTGGAGGCATAGAAATGCTCATTATCCGAATGCTTAGCATTTTCCCATTAAAGTTAATGGTAAATGAAATCTTAAGAACGCTTGATTTTCGTATAGCCTTTTTTGCCGTTATTTTAAATAAAGCTCGAGTTAAAACCCAAATATTTTCTGCCTTATTTTAAATTTTACATTGGTATGTTTCTCTTCCATTTGGTACAATAATTTATTAATATAATGTGCATCCTGTTTTGCAGACCAATACTGCGGCCGTTTCGTAGAAATGATTTAAGAATGGATTTTTAGGGGACCCAATCGCCAAATCCTGGGTGTGGAGAATCATCATCCACCACCCGGACGCCACTGTACAGACATTAGGTATTTTTTGGAAGCAGGCAAGATGAAAAATTAGCAAGGGTTTCACCGGGAATCGAACCACGGATATCTTCTAGTTTCCAATACAGTTGTTGCATTATTATCCTGACACATTGTTACGAAATCGATCAAAACAAAACAAGAATCAAATAATTAGGTCCATGGTATGGGATGAGTTTTTTCATCTTTTAAATGAAATTTAAATAAACATATACATAAAGTAGGCTAAAAGCCTAAATCCAGTTACAGAGCTTAAACTCACACTGCAGTTGCGCACTGCAGTTGGAATTCTAAAGCAAAGAAGACCGAATTATTCATCAGTTTTGCATAGTCACGTGTCTAGAAAAGAAAGCGCTTAGTAATCAAACTGATGGAATTGTAACGCCATCTTTAAATAGCATCAACAAATATTTCTCAATAACATTGTATCTCTTCCGGAATTTGCTATTTGAACAGCATTAATTACTCTAGAATGCATCGATAGTCCTTGACCGTTAAGAACTATCAGTGTTCCCAGAGATTTTCCACGATACTGCAGCAACCCAAGTCGCAGACATGCTCCATGCTTCTTTCTGTGCATGAACAGTCCAGATCATGCCATTGAAGAAGTCTCCGTACATAAGTTCTCCCAGAAATGGGAAGGTATAACGATGGCAGAACAATGCATATTTTTCATTGTGTCCACTGCAAGTTTTGCATTCATGAACCGCGAAGTTCTACATTTATTATTGGCGTTGGTTATGAAATTCTTTGCTGTAGTCGCAGTGCTAGGAGTATTAACCGGTGATGCTCTCAATAGATAATTTTTGTAGAAATGGTTGAGTTCACGAAAATGTTGAATTCTGTCATAATTTGAGAAGTCTGCCATAATTTCATAATTCTACCATAATTTGAGGAAGAATTATATATTTTTTGGATACAAACTTTTTTAACATTCTTTCAGATAATTTCTTCTTACCTCGGCAAATACTGCGCTTGCGCAGATATGATCCTAGGATAATGTGACTGTCGACACATGGAATAAAGCCTGTCAGCTTGATAAAAGGTACCCAACTAGACAAGCATGAACAAAATGCTCTATTTTGAGCTCCAATATATCCCCTTTTTATGTTCTATAATTCTCAATGTTTCAAGTCTGTACCTCTAATACCGTTGACGGCTATAACTTCACATTCTGCTGTTGTTCAAAAAAATAAGTATCATTCAGAGTTCCCAATCCCCAGAGGTACATATGCTGTTTCGAAATTGGTGTGCTGTATTCGCCAGTTGTTTCACTTTCATTGCCTAACACTAGTATACGCGCTTTAGTAAAATGTTTTCTTAATAGCGTTTGCCTTAAGCTCCTAAACTTATTACCTGCTTAGAGATCATGTCGATAAATTGATCATTGCACTCTGCACATAACTCTGTACATTGAAATTAGTTGCAAATTTTTTATTCTAGATTTCCTTCTATTCTTCTCTGCATTTAATTAATTTCACAAATTTCTTTTTTAATTAATTACCACTAAATCTTTTTCTTGTTTTAATAGGAAGGTAAATATTTTGGATTTTGGAACAGAAAAATCTTCATCAACAAAGTAATCCAACATTGTACAAGCTGCAATAGAAGTCACACTCTGATGTACTTTACTTGACCTTTCTGCTTCTTCAGATATCCAAGTCTTACCTGACAAAAATAATGTTCAGAAAATCTTGTTTGCTGTACCTAAAATGAGATATATTTCTGGCTCAAGGTGACGAAAGAAATTTCTAAATGTCAGATGAAGAAGAAAGACGTCTAAATAATTATCGAACTCAAATGAAATCTGCATTTCCTTTCAATCTGTATAAATGCATTCAGAGTATCTGCAAACTAAAGAAATATTTAATTTATAAGTTTTTCTTGAATATCTTAAGAGGGTTTATTAATGGTTTTTGGTAATCTGCTGATTGGCAATATGATTTGACTTAGTGATATGACATTAGAAACACGAACAAATTGATTTGTTGTGTGTAACAATTTTATCATAACGTTTTTAACATGAAAAAGAACATGGATTGCAAATATACATGTTGAAATTATGAAGAGTATTTTAGGTGGAAATTTTTGTAATTTTTTTCATTAGAATAAAGTAGATCTTGAGGTAAATAAAGTACGTAATTTATGTTCCATTTATGTTAAAGTATCTCTCAATGGGTTCTTTTATTTCCAAAAGAAGTTAGGTTAAAAAGTAGTCATAAATTACAGCAAACAATAAGAAGAATTGTTTTAAAGCTATGATCGGCGTAAGAAATTTCGAACTGTATTTTGGTAGAGACGAGGAATATTGTCCTGATTCTTCTTCTTCTTCCAGCACCCAAAGAATAAACAGCACAATCAATGATGATCATTCTTATGAAACAGTTGAAAAACTTGATTCGAAAACTTTAAAGGAAGGTGAAGATTACATGTGCTGTTTAGAAAGAGATAAATGCGATGTCCGGCCATTACCACTTAAGTCTTTTGAGTTAATTCGCATGCTCATAAACGCACAGTTTTATTCCGCCCAAATAAGTGATATTTATTCGCAAAATACTGAATCTTTGATTAATTATTCTAAAGAAAATAATGGTTGTCAAAGATCGAGTGGTGGTGAAACCTTACCTTTTGTCTATGCGAATGTAACTCCTGATCCAAACGAGATACTCTCTGCCACTGAAACATATATATGTAGTATAGGATCCAAAAAGCCTTCGCCCTTTTTTAAAGACCTCAGATACGATGTAAATTGCGAAGATAGGAATCCTTGTATTTCAAAAATATCAGCTCTTTACTCAGAATACAAAGAAAGAGATCCTTCAATATGTCAAACACTCAGTAGCATTACAGAAGATAAAGAAAGAAATTTATATATGCCTGAAATTTCTTTTCGTGATAGAGCTTTCAAAAGAAGACATAATTTTCCTGAAAAAGAATATATACCCAAGAAAATTTACAAAAGAATGAATCCTACTATTTTCAAAAGATCGACAGGCATTGCAACACACAAAGAAATAGATTCTGTACGTAATGCTGAAAGAAAGGGGCAAGAACTATCTGTACTTAGAAGTTGTTCGGACGAAATGCAATATTCTGATAATTCACAATCATTAAATGATTGCACGAAGCACCCGTTTAAAAAAGAGTGCGAGGAAAAAATCAGAATCCAGGCAAAATTTTTCAAAGCTAATAAAGTGTGTGAAAGTTTGCAGTATCTTTTCAAACATCAAATGAGTATGATTACCGAACACGTAAAAGAGAGGAACGAAAACAGTAAAAATCAACACTGCACGGTCACCGATGGGTATTCCACTGATTTACCGCTGCATAATATTTCAGTACATGATGGAGCAAAGAAAATGCTGGAGAATTTTGTTGCATTTCCACATACATTTGTCCAAGATAAAACCGAATTTGGGAAAGACATAGAATATTTTAGCCAGAATTTAAATGAAAAAGAGTTAAAGAATCATACCATTACGGACCATCACAATTTTGAAACAGATGAAGATAACTTACAGGAAATTTTTAAAAATTCGAATAATTCTCATCACAATTTCGACACACAAACTAAAAATAGTCACAATAAAATGTCTGCAAAGACGATTTCGATACAAAATTCGATACGCAACTTTTTATGTGAGTTTAACCCCAAGGATCATGTTTCGTACATAATTAATTACGCTTATTCTAACTTAGAAACTGACTTCAGAACTAGATTTGACACTTCCAATAATCCGAATTCGAGTTTAGAAAGTCAAGTTAGGGATGACTGCAACAGGAAACAAGGGAACGGAATACAAAAATTAACTAAAACATATTTGTCTAAAGATAAAAAGTATTTGGCTCATAAGTACGAGCAATACGTACCAACTGCCACTAAAAATGTTAAATCATCAAATGATAAATTAGAACTTATCAATTTAGAATCTCAAACCGATTCGGAATTGGACATTTACAAGAATATTCGATTAACATCTCTAAATTGCAAAAAGAAACCAGCAAATGGGCATTTAGACTGTAAAAAGTGTAGAAACGAAAAGACGAGAAAAAAATTTTCAAGATTAAACACGGTCTTGATCAAAGACATTAAACGCTCTGAGAATTCTTTATTTTTCAACGACAGAAAACGCAAAAAACAAAAAAGATCGCAGCTAAAATATTCAAGAAGCAAGCATAAATCGAAAAATAAAGAAATTATCATCGAAGTAGAAAAACCTTTACAACAGAGGTTAAATCACAAAAATATGCTGATCGAAGTTAATAAAAAGTTAGATATCGTCGGTAGAAAATTGCGTTTGAGCGTCAAGGGGAATAGAATTTATCTTATTGCAAAAAAGAGGAGAATAGAAAAACAAAAATGCAAGGAAAAATTGAATTCGAAAATAAAATGCAGCGAATCAAAGAAAATTCACGTTAAAACTGCAAGCAAAGAAAGAAGTTCGCCGGCCAAACTTTATTCCATTTCAAACAGTTCAAAAAACGAGGAAACTACATTAGAGGAAATGGAAGCTTTTTTGCAAGAACTTCGTGCAAATACAAGAAAAACTGCGGTAAAAGATCTGCAACAGAATTTACGAATGGTAAAACATCAGTCGGAGAAAGTGCAATTTCTGGACAAGTCTCAAGCGCAAAGGAAAACAAAATTGATGACTTGCGTGTCTCTTACACCCGACGCTGCCGTGAAAGAAGCGAACATTTTGAAAGATATAAGAATGCATCGCAGAGACTTGAAAACGTTATCTGATTTAGAGATTAAAAAGAATAAACTTTTGCAAAAATTCAAAGCTGAAACAGATTCCATTATTACAGCTTATAAAAGCAGCCAAAAGTATAATAAGCGGCATACCATTTCTGAAGCAGAAAAATTCAAAAAAACTGAAATATTTCTTAATACGTTGAATAATCAGACAACCAAGAGAAAAGATAAAAAATTAAAACAAATGCTTGTATCATTTGCATTTAAACGACCAGCTGCTAAGTCTGAGAAAGTCTCAGAAGAATCACATACTGGAATTAAGTTTGCATCTTTATCGGAAGAATCACAAAGCTTACTTAACACACTGAGGGCTAAGATAAAAGCAAAAAAAAGTAAAAAATGCTGATATGTGAGCATTATTATTACAGATTTCTTATGAGTTTGACTAATAACTTAAATATAGGTCTGTTTACCTATTTATCTGATAAATTAAAAATTACAGAATTATAAGGAATTATTCATTCCAACCTAACAGGCAAATAGTCTACAGGCACTTAAACCCGGCATTTCGAATGTCCAGAATTTAATTCCGGGTAATAAGCCTAAACCTTTAATCGTAATTTTTCAAAGGTATTGCCCCCGAAAAATAACTGATATGAATATTTCTTTCACTGATTGTAATAAAAAATATCTGATGTGTATACCACATGACTTCTTGTACGCCCTATTAAATTATACACATTTTTTACTGCACTTCATTAAACTTATTTCCTCGAATTTCATTAGAAATATATTTCTCATTTAATCAATTCACATTTCCTTTCGCATCAAGGCACAAAATACATAAGCACTCAAAACATCTTCATTCAAAATTTTAAAATACGGGGAAAACCTAAAACACCAAATACAGTAAAAAACAGTTAAAACTTTTTGCTCCCACTGAGCAAAAAGGCACTGAAGTTGGTGCACCAACTGACTTAATTCAGTATTTCACTAAGAGTTCCAAATGCAAACAAATGGCATCCTCGTCAGCCCTAGTGCTATTTAAACTTTTAAACTGTTGATAATTAATTCTACATCTATCGCTTGCCGATAGAAATAAATACACGAATAAAAACTTTAACCGGAACATAAGAACAACATTATTCGATCTCTTTATAGGGATTTATATTTATTTTAAATAACCAATTTCGTTTAAGTTTTATTTTCTTTCCTATAAGCCTTCATTCCCCTAACTGTCAATGCCAGAATATTTAAATTTGGTAGCGCGTGTGAAATAATGCAAATTCTACCTTGAGGAGAAAAGGTTTAAATATTGATTTCTAGAAGGAAAAGTTGGCGAGTTTGAGCAAGCGCTGTATCTCTGTAACGTGATCTTCTGTTTCTGCAGTTATTGCTGGTTAACGTGGCGTAATAGTTACTTTGTTGCCACTAGATTTTCGACGCGGGTTTTAGGTAACAGGTTTATCTGAGCCCTGTAGAGTAACTCTACTCAACTTTTTTGTTTACTTCTTGTTGTTTGTGTTACCGCCCGAGTGAGGCGTAGTGTGTTAGCGTTAAGTCGACGTACTGTGAATTTTAAAGAGTTAATAAAGGTTTTTTTTTAATTTTCTTCTGTGTAGTTCCTACACGTACTTAGTTGTCACATTAACAAGTAGATCTTACAACTTTTAGGACAAAAAATGCATAATTTATCAGCATACAAGAATAAAAATACTGAGCTTACCGAGTGGGGTAACAGGGGGGAATAAATATATATATATATGTTTCATGCGCCTGATTGAAAAGAAAAAGGTAGGTGCACAACTACATGTTATAGCAGTCCCATAATACAAAATCGTGTGGATATGCTTTTTTAAAATTATTTTGCGATATTGCTGTTGGATTGAATTTTATGGTTTAAATGCGAAGAACTTGATATTTAATAAGTAAAGATAACACACACACAAAACGTTAAAAGCTCCTTCGGGGGTAATATTATCAGTTTTTTTTTTTAATAATTTTTGCTCACTTCAGTAAGTACACGATTGAAGTATTTATTAATTTCTACTTCTTGCTTACGTTTTTAACGTAACTTCATGTGAGAAGTATATGAGAAGCAAGAAGTGGAAACTAGCTAAATTAAAAACGTAAACGTTAAATGACTAAAGTTAAAAATCACAGACATTAACTGACTGTTAAAATGTTAGAAAGTTTTTTACCTGTATGATTCGAAACTCAGTTTGTAGAGACATTAGGTAATTTCGAAGCAGGAGATGTGAAAAATGAGCAATGCCATCGCCGGGACTCAAACCACGGACCTTTCGAGTAAGCGCCGAGCGTGCTGACCATTACACTACGAAGGCATGCTAAGAAGAAATACCTTGTATGGCCCCCTTTGAAAGGGCGGCTGGGGATTAGGGGACACAATCGCCAAATTCTGGTGGTGAAGAATCACCATCATTTAGTTCGAGTGCCATTGTAGAGACATTAGCAATGGCATTTATGGATAATAAAAGCAAAGAAAAATAAAAAATTCTGAAATGTGAGCACTATTATTACAGATTTCTTATGAGTTTGACTAACAACTTAAATATAGGTCTGTTTACCTATTTATTTGATAAATTAAAAATTACAGAATTATAAGGAATTATTCATTCCAGCCTAACAGGCAAATAGTCTACAGGCACTTAAACCCGGCATTTCGAATGTCTAGAACTTAATTCCGGATAAGAAGCCGATATATCCTTTAATCGTAGTAATTTAATAAGTAATTTCGAAGCAGAAGATGTGAAAAATGAGCAATGCCCTGGCCGGGACTCGAACCACGGACCTCTCGAATACGCGCCGAGCGTTCTGATTACTACACTACGAAGGCATGTTAAGAAGGCGGGAGAAATACTTTACAAGTTGGATAGTAAAAACTTCTGATATTTTGAATATTGTTTAAAAAATAAGATAACACCACTAGTCTCTGTGTGGTTTTAATTATATATTTAGTTTAAAAACTAAATTTTCATTCATTTCCTTCAGTTAAAAGATAAGTATATTTACTGCAGTTTTCATAAAAGTTAAGTATGTTTTAGAAGATTAAAATCAAAATACAAATTTCTAAAAACTAAAACTGTGCTAACACTGAATTAAATCTACTTTAAATTCTAACTAACGTGCATCTCTTACATAAATCACGAAGAAAGGAAAGAAGTATGTTTCTAGAAATTGCGTAGGAAGATAGAATTGAATCACTGAAATAGAAAGAAATGAATGTCTGAAATAAATTTTCGAGCAAACATTGCCTTAGAAATTCTGCAGAAAAAACGCTAAAAAAATATAGCGAAAAAGAGTAATCTCGAGACGGGTACATGGTTAGAATAAATAGAAGCGACGTTGTACTTTTTGATTTCAATTTAAATATTTTAAACATTATTTAAAATAAGATGAAGATCACTTGATAAGATTAAAATTTCTGTTGCTCTGTGTGTGTGAGTGTTTTTTTTTGGGGGGGGGAATAAAAAATTTTGAAACAAGCACTTGTGAAAACGACTTTTTACGGAGAACCTGTAAAGTATGTATGTATATAAAAGAGCAGTGTAGTCATGACAAGTGCAGTAGGGAACTGAAAAGAAGTGAGCAAATATTTGCTGTTCGAGATAACAAGATGCGAGTACTAACTATTTGACACATGACTCGCAGCGCTAATACTGACAACCGAAAATGCAAAAGGCTTATGACGAACAAGTACGCAGACAAGATTAAAATACAGAGCTGTGCCATTTTTGACAGTGAATAATAAAAATGTTGCGCAAAAAGTATGCTTTACTTGTTTTAAGCAAAAGTTATTAAAGTTTTTTTTTTCTTGGCGAAACAAGGTGGAGGATGTTAAATATTTGCATAATCGCCTGTAGTAACGGCAACCGCCGGCAATAAAAGGAGGTGCTTTCCTTAGTGGCACCGCAGTTCCTTTTAGTTCGAGCCAGAATAGACCTGCCAGGGGATGAGAGATTCCGGTTCCCGCCCTGTTCCGGTTCCCGTCTTGTTGCGGATCCAGTCCTGTTCCGGTCCTGATCCAGTCCTATTCCAGTTCCAGTCTGGCCGTTTAAGTCCAAAACACGTAGGAGCGGAAGTCTGAATCCAGCGAATGGAGATACGAGTATATGCCGAAAGGGCTAGATGGATTCTGTCTTTTAAGGGAAAGTGTTCTTCACCGTGCCGGCATAGCTGTTACTTTAAAGCACTTTGAAGTTTTCCACCCAAGATGTTAAGTTTTTGTTTGTGATGTTAAGTTTTCATCAGTGTTGAAGTTCCAGTTAAATAAACCTTTAAGTTTTAGACAAGGTTTTTGTGTTCTTCAGAAAATTTTAGATTCGAAGTCAGATATAGCACATAGGATTATTATCGGAAAAAATCAACATTTGGCATCAAGCGACAGGATATTGTCTGCAAGGTAAGCGACTTTTTTATTTTTGAATCATGGAAGCTTTAAAATTAGCAAGAACTCAATATAGAAGACTATTCAGTAAAGCTTGTAATGAATTTGACAATGAAGAAACTAAATTTAATCAGGAAGAAAAATTAATTAAAATAAAAGTTATTGCCGAGAAAGCTAAAGTTTTGTTTGATACTGAAATGAAAATACGAGAATTAATGTTTAAAGAAATTACAGATGAGACTTTACTTATTAAGGAAATAGATGAATCTGAATTATATTTTGATAGGTGGAGACTTCTGGAAAGTAAAGTAAAAGATCTTACTTCTGGAACCCCGAATGTAACTTTAATTGATCCGTCCTTTGTTCAGAATAAAATGTTACATTATCCGAAGATTAAATTGCCTATCTTTGACGGCAACGTGAAGAAATGGCTAGGATTTTGGGGGCAATTCCAAAAGATTGATAAAGATCCTACATTAGATAATAATGATAAATTTGCTTATTTAGCACAGGCTATGGAGAAGAATTCTCCTGCAGAGGAAATAGTTAAAAGCTTTCCGCCAACTGGCGATAGTTACAAGAGCGCAATCGAAGCATTGCAGACGCGTTTTGGTAACAAAGAATTACTAACGGAGATTTATATTCGTGATTTGCTAACCCTTGTTATTCAAAAACAAGGTACACACTCTTTGCGGAAACTATACGATGAACTCGAATCTAATCTAAGAGCCTTGGAGATATTGGGAATAAATAGAGGCAAATATTGCGCGATATTATATCCATTGGTAGAATCAGCATTGCCGAATGAAGTCTTAAAAACACGTGGGAGAGACTTAGGTTTTCGCGTAAAGGATCAGAAAGTTTAACCGGCGAAAACGCCGAGTTAAGAGAAAGGGAATCTGACCTTGAGCGCCTTTTATGTTTCTTGCGCGGTGAAGTTGAAAGTGAGGAAAGAATTTCTTTAGCAGCTTCTTTCAATGTTTTCGATCGATTGCGGTTTCTTGCGCTGAAGTTGAAAGTTGAGGAAAGAATTTCTTTAAAGCTAAATCTTTCTAATTTCGATCGATTCGACTCACGGTAATAACTAAGGAATTCGGGTTTAAAGACTTAAACCTCGCTTAAACCTACGGCAGCTGAACTGTTTACTTCTTCTAATGAAGCTAGAAAAGGCTGCATATTTTGTTCCAGTATAAATCATGGTTCTGCGGAATGTTTTCAGGCGCGTAACTTATCGTTGTCAGAAAGAGAAGTTTTGGTCCAAAGGACACGCTCTTGTTATCTGTGTCTGAAATCTGGACATTCTGTCAGGAGGTGTAGATTAAAAACAGTTTGTTTTACATGCGGCAAAAGGCATCATATTTTTCTATGTAAGGGCCATTCACAAATGAGTGAGACAAGGGCAACGGAACAGCCTCCAAATCAGGCTGAAACACTCGCCAACATTTCTTCAAGGTCTCCTAAAGTTTTGCTGCAAACAATAAGAGTAATAATTAAAGGAGATAAAAAATCTCGTTCGGCTCGAGCTATAATTGATACTGGTTCTCAAAGGTCATATATTCTGCAAAGCGCAGCTCAAGATATGGGTTACAGGTATACGGTAAAGGAATACCTTAGCCACGCATTATTTGGCGGTACAACGACCAGTTTGTGTGAACATAAAGTTTACAAAATTCATTTATCTAATATGTCTGGCTCGTACAGTTGTAATTTTGATGCGTTAAGTCAGCCTGTTATTTGTAATAGTATACCTTCTATTGGACAAGGAATATGGCTTAAAGAGCTTGCTGACTGTGGAATAAGTTTAACAGATCGTTTAGAAGGACCCTATAGAAATTTTAATAGGAGCCGATGTTGCAGGACGATTATTAACGGGGAATCGTAAACAAATTTCAAACGGTCTTGTAGCTATTGAAACAAAGTTAGGATGGACGGTTATGGGAAAAACCGGGGAGTTGAATAGTGAAGGTTCAACATTCTTAGTTACATCAATGTTGAATAAAGAGGCTTGTATTTCTGATTTATGGGCCCTCGACTCGCTTGGTATTACGGACCCATCCGAACAAAAGACTAAATTGGAATTGTATGAGGCTACCAGGCAACATTTTCTTGATACTGTAAAAATAGAAGATGACCGCTTTGTAGTGTCTTTGCCTTGGTTGGAAGGGCACCCTCCCCTGTCGGATAATTTTGAGTTATCGC